CTATAAGTCGAAAGGAGACTGCGACCATACCCGAGGCCACAACATCTTGGTCTTCACATCTTCAGTATTATTTTTAGTTATGCTGACAGCAAATTCTGAGGGGACGTCCCCAATCAGCACTTCCACGCTATTCCTGTAGTTTTCCGCACTTTATTGTCTAAATGTAAGTTAAGCTTTTTCATAAAAAGTTGCATCTTATTACTACAATATAAATATGTATAACTTTCCCCTTATTTTAAAAAATCTCCACTAAATACTTATAGCTCGTAATGGAGACTTTCATTCCGTATTAAAGTGCCTGATGAAGAGATTCGTAGTTAAATCTCACCCGAAGAAGAGGGCTGAGTCTCTTGGTTCTACAGCCGTTTAGTTCTAATACTTATTTAGGTTTGAGGAGTCCATGAGGCATCCCTCCTTATTTCGGGTGAAAACAGAATGAGCTTTTATCCATCGTGACACCTGACGGACATCGTCAGAGCTGGAACCCAAGCTTGCAAAAATTTTATGTTAAAACTGTGTCACGAAGAATATTCGGATCTATCCTACATAGAATAGATATATGTAAATAAATATTTGTAACTAAAAAAAACAATATAAAGAATGATATTGATGGATGTGGAATGACTTGGCTAGTTCTCTTCTATGCTATCCCGTCTACTGTTACTTGACTGTGTGTGTGTGTGTGTTAATGTTCGTACGCATGTCAGTCATGGTGTGCAATATTAGCTGTACTCTAATGGCCCTGGGCATAAAGCTTTAGCAGACCAACGACTCTGACTTACGCACACACACACGCACACACATACACACAAATGCTCAAGTATAAGTGCTCCAATTAATATAAAAGAGAACTAACCAAATCTTTCTCTATTCATCTATAACAATATCATTTCGCTTTTAGATATTCTTATTTATTTAATGTTTACTTGAAGCTTTTGCAAGAATGAGTTCCAGCTCTGACGATGTCTGCCAAATGACATGATAGACAAGAACTCAGCCAGTTTTTACCCAAAACAAGAGAGATCGACCTACGAATGTTTTTACTTCATGAAATTTACTACGAAATCAAAGTCTCCACAGCAATGTTATCTTAAGAGTTTCATCAAACCCATATATATATATATATTCCGATTAAATTGAAAATATGAATTTACGGTTCTTCAACAATTTGATTGAAGGGAGGTCTGAAGGCGGTAAATGGAAATAGACACAGAAGAGTGAAAAAACCTGAGACTTACGATCTGCCATAACGATTCTAGACTTGCAGGCGTTGTGACAAGCCATGATGTCGTCGAAAAAATTTACAGTATTTCCACATCCTGAAAAGTTGAAAACCTCACAACGACTGGTTTGCTCGTTAAAGAACCATCGGTGCAATTTGAGTGATTGCGCATCCGTCTTGCAAACAGAGCCGTTTCGCGAAGCACAGCTACCCACCGGTTGACAGTCTCCGTAGACTGCAGCCATCCGGCATGGCTCAGGGTCTGTTTGAGAGCAAAATGGAAGCAGGGATGCCAAGCAAGGCATCGAATTGGCTCAAAAATGATAAAGTACAGCAAAAATAATAATAATAACTATTATTGTTGTAGTTGCCGATGCTGTTGTTGTCATGGTAGTAGTAGTAGTAATAGTAATAATAATAATAATAATAATAATAATAATAATAATAATAATAATAATAA